TGTTAACTGAAATATGTCAATTGGTATACCATCTATTCCTGGAGCCTTATTTTTTGCCATGTCCTTCAAAGCAGCCTGAACTGCTTCTTTCATCACCATAGGCTCTTGCTCATATGTTGTTTCATGAAATTCTTCTGTGTCTTCCAATTCTTACTACTTACCTGTCAAAAAGTAGTATAATTTGAATTAACACTAAGCCTACAGCTTCCTCATCCATTTAACTAACTTGACCTTCCTTTTAACCATATGGTTTGGGGGTGGGGTGTGGACAAGAGAGACCTAGGGGGTGTTTCTTCCTTTTCTGGGACTCCCTACAAATGCTCCTTGGCGACAAGGACGATGAAGCTTCGTCTCATATATTTTGGGCACGTTGTGAGGCAGGGCCAGTCCTTGGAAAAGGACTTCACGTCTGAAAAAGTGGAGAGTCAGCCAGCGAGGAAGACCCTCAATGAGATGGATTGACACAGAGACTGGAACAATGGGCAGAAGTGTATCAGAGACGGTGAGGAGGGCTCCAGGCAGGGCAGGGTTCACACCCATGATTGACAGGACTGCTGAGTTGCAGTTGACTCAATGGTCTCCAATAACCACTGCCGTCAAGTGCGTTCAGCCTCCTAGTGACCCGCAGGAGAGAGCAGAACTGCCCTACACAACTTCCAAGTCTGTAAACATTTTTTATTCACAGTTAAAAAAAATTTTTGTGATTTAAGTGTATAGATCAGATTGGTTCTTAATACATACTTTTACCATACATTAGAGCCCACAGTGTAACCTCACGCTGTCCACTTCTCCATGATTCACCTTCCCATTCGTCATTCCCTCTTCCTTCCTTCTGAGCCTCATCCCTCGTCAAAGGTGCCCTGTTAAGTGAGTGCCTCACTGGCGTTACTGTTCATTTGTTGTGTATGAAGAGTTGGGAGATTGCCCATCCTTTTTTCCCAGGAGCAGCTAGTGGTCTCAAACCGTGTGCCTTCGGGATTGCAGCGCAGCTTCTTGCCACCAGAGCTCCCTAACGTTCACAGTATAAGGCTGCAATCTTTACAGAAGCGGCCAGTCTTATCTTTCTCTTTTTTGCAGCAGCTGGGAGCAGTTTGAACCAGGAACCAGCCAGGTAACAACCCACCGCTTTAACCACAGCACCAGCAGAAACCCTTAATTGGAGACTAAGATTCCTATGTTTGTTGATTGTGTACCATAAAGTAAGATCTAACCAACCCATAGCTGACCCTCCAGCAGGTTTTCAGAGGCAGTTAATCATTCGGGAGGAGAGCGCCCATCCTCCTGCGGGGCACCTGGTGGTTTTGAACCATATGCCTCGGGGATTGCAGCACAGCTTTTTGTCACTAGGCCACCAAAGCTCAAAAATGCTTATAAGGAAATATTATTCAGCCATAAAAAAGGAAGCACCACCCCAGGCTCTAATAGGGATGTACCCTGAAGATCACATATCATTGAGTATTATTTATTTGAAATCTCTCACTTGAGAAAGGAGAGAGAACAGAGGTTCCCAAGGGCTGGAGCAGAACAGGGAGTAACAGCTCTTGCTCTATTTTGGAAAGGAGGGAAACACTGAAGTTATAAAAATACTGAATTATACTCTTTAAAAAGGAATATTTACATTAAATACATCTCAGTAAAAACTCTCATTTTACAAGTATCTCTCAATCATTTTTTTTTTCTCTTTGCCACAGCTACTGTGTGAAAGATGGGGACCCTGGGCAGGAAAGTTGGTCTTCCCTGGTTCCTGAGAGAGAGTGGTGAAAAGAATGGCTTTGGCACATGGCTGGAACTCTCTGGAAAAGCTGGCGACCAGGATGAGAGTGGGAAATACCTCATCCCCAGGTGGTGTGAATGTTGGGTGTGGCCAAGACACCTCCCACTCAGAGGGACACGGCGTACGCAGAACCTAACCTGGCCCAACTTGAGTTCTAGATGTTAGTGAAGAATGAAGGCTTCCCTTGACCACTGTGGGTCGGGGAAATGGGTCCAAAGGTTGCCCTGGGCTGAGGGCAGCATCGGAGGCCAAAAGGGGCTGAGGTCAGGACACGCGTGTTGTGGGGAGAGGTTGTAGGGACCAGGGTCTGAGGAGAACTTTGTAGGCAGTGATTTTGGGAGACGACCTGGGAGGTGACAAACCCCAAGAGTGAGGCTGCAGGCAGACCCTCCGGCCACATCAGGAGGACAGGCCAAGCCTGTCTGTTTTCTTCACCCAGTGCTGTGTCTGTCCAGGGCCTAGTGAGGGAGGGCTGCGCCAACCTGGGCAGAGGCGCTGTCCGGCCCTGGGGCCCTCTCATCCTTCACGCTTCCTCAGGGCCTCCTCTGCTCTCTGCCTCCTCCAGCACTGGGAGGAAGTCTAGGCCCAGGGTGGCTGGCACAGGTGGGCGCTGGCCCAACATATGGCCAGGGAGGACAGATGCCCCAGATCCTGTGGTTACAGCACAGGGCGGCCACTCGGCTGCTTTCACAGGAGGGTGTGGAGATGGAATAGGCCCTCAGCCAGCTGTCTATGAGCCCAAGGCATCGAGGTGACCCTCTCCCACTGTGGAGATAATGGGCCTAATTCCGTGGAAGAAAACTGAAGTCAACTTGACTCCTAACCCCTGACGGTGTGGTGGAGAGTTCCGAGGCCAGGACGCAGCGAGCTTTGTCTATAAGGATCTGAGGTGAACCTGGGGGCCTGTGACCAGCCTGGACATGGCCTTCAGGCACGCACAGCTTCCTGGATGGCAGCAGGTGCGGGTCAGAGGTCAGAGGTGGGGGGCCAGGCTTTTTCCACGTCAGGGTGCATGGCCTGTGGGAGCCACTCACAGTACTCTGCCAGTAGGTCTGTGGGGAGAGGGGACAGTGAGCTGGAGGTGGCATTCCCGAGGGCAGGACCCCCACTGAGAGGCCACAGCTGCTGCCCACACACATCACAGCCCCCTGCCCCCCAGGATCTACGTACATTTGGGGTTTTTCTTCCAGGCAGCCAGCAAGGCATCGCGGCAGTCCGCTTTCTCAGCGACAAGGGCCTTCAGCAGGATCTCGGTCCTGGGCTGCAGCCTGCAGTGGGCAGTAGGGTGTGGGAGGGCAGCCTGGGGTGTACATGGGGGGACCTCTAGACCCCACGGCCCCATCAGTCCTTCCTTGCCTTAGTGCCCTGGGCTGCTAGAACAGAAATGACTGGCCACACAACTTCAAAGGCCAGAGATTTGTTCCCTCTGGTCAGGAGGCTGGACGTGTAAACTCAGGGCTGGACAATCCCTGTGACAGCTTCTCTGGGGTTCCCTGGAGATTCCATGTGGCGTCTCTTACACCCTCATTCCTGCCTCTTTGCCTAGCTGCCCTACTACGCTTGACACACTGACACGGCCTCCTAACACCACATTTAGCTTATCAGAGAACCCTGTTCCCAAACAAGATCACTTCCACAGGTCAACCCTGTTCCTGTCCAGTCCACTGACCCTGACTCACAGCGCCCCCTACAGGACGACTGCTCTACAGGGTCTCAAAGGCTGTAACCTTTACTGAAACTGCATGTTTTATCTTTCTCCCATGGAGTCATGGGTGGATTTGAACCAGCAACCTTTGCTTTAGCAGCCTAATACCTAATACCCCTCCACATTGCCCTGCCTGAGGGGGACACTCACTTCAGAGTGGACCACCCCACTCCACTTCCCTGCCCAAGGGGGACACCCAGCTCAGAGTGAACCACCCTTCCACTGCCCTGGCTGTCAGGATGCGCTCAGAGTGCCGTACCTGGCCCACGTCTTCAGCATCGTGCTGGGACTGGACAGCAGACAGCTCTGGTATGAGGCCAGCTTTGGGAAGACCTGCAGAGGAAGCACGGGAAGGGGTCAGAAGCCCTTGACCACCTGTCCCCGCCACCTGAGCCGCCAGGGAGTTGCCTACCTGTCCTTCCAGCAGGGAACGGGCGAAGTGCTTGTAGAGGTCAATGCCCTCGGGGAAGTCCACCTGGACCTCGGGGAGCGGCCAGCCAACCCGATCTGGAGGACGGGAGCTGGTGAGCGCTGGGGCAGGGAGGGACCCCCCACCCGCCCTGGCAGAGGTGGCCCTTCTCCAGTGACAGGGACGGGGCCCCACTCACAGAACACGCTGGCACGATGGCATAGCACGCGCCCCGTCTCAGGGCAGTAGGTGGGAGGCGGGCTCTCGGCCGGCGGGCTGAACTGGCAGTAGGGGGACAGTAGCACGGGGATCCACTGCACCTCCACAGCTGAGACACCTGGGCAGAGCAGCTGGGGTCACTCAGGGACCTCGTCAGGGACATGGGGTGTATCAGCCCCACGGAGGCAGCCACCCACCTCTCACCTCTCATGTACATCTTGGTGGTCTCCACAATTTCCTGGTAGACCACAAACTCGGGGAGCTCTCGGAAGAGGACGGAACTGGGGTGGATGAAGACAGGGTCGTCAAGGAGTGGAGTCTGTGGGAAGAAGAGGGGAGCGTGTGAGGGGCCGGGAAACAAAACCCACATGGCAATACACGTACACGCCGCTCTCAGCTCAGACTGACGGACAGAGACCTGCCTCCCAGGTGCCCAAGGCTGGACAGTGTTATGGCAGCTGACTGCCTCAGCGTTCCGCTACGAGCAACTGGTGGGTTTGAACTCCCAACCTTTTGGTTAGCAGCAGTCATACAGGAAAGCAAAGCACTGCTGCTCCCTACCATAGGGGTGGACCCTGAGGAGGAGTCAGTGCCCCAGAGCGTATTAATTCCACTTCTTTTTTTAAAAAAATTTTTAAATTTTTTTTATTATTATTATTTTTGTGAGTGTACCGTCAAATCAGATCTGACTGGTACAATTCGAACCATGCGCCTCTGGGATTGTCCTTACCACTAGGCCACCAGAGCTCCCCATTAATTCCACTTCTACAAAAAGTCCAGAGCATAAGGTTCACAGAGACAGGACCCGGCTAGATGGTTGCCAGGGGCCATGGGAAGAGGAAGCGGGAGTGACTGCTAATAGGTACGGGGCGTCTTTCTAGTGACCGATTATGATTTGAGTGAATGTGGACAGACAAAGCTAGCTGTGAGTCAATAACCCATCATAGTTTGACTGGTGGCGTGGACTGGAATTCCTATCCTGTGACAGCACTCTTTCCACTTCTTCCCTGGGTTTCCTGCTTCCACCTGTCCTTTCCTGTCCCATCTTGCCTTGTGGGCTTTATCCCCCCCACAAAATGCTGCCCTTTTGATCTATGGCTGGTTGTTCCGTGGAGTGACTTCCTTCCCGGCGTTCATGACCACCTCCAGGCCTGTCTATGGGTTCTGATGACAATGTGGTTAAAGGATCTAGATGCTGGATATATGCACACCCATGTTTATCACAGCTTTGTTCACAACAGCAAAGAGTTGGAAACAACCTAAGTGCCCATCAACAAACGAATGGATAGAGAAGCTCTGGTATATTCACACAATGGAATACTACACTGCATTGAAAAACAAGGAACTCACGAAATATTATACAGAATGGGAGACCCTGGAGGACATTATGCTGAGTGAAATATCTCAGTCACAAAAGGACAAATACTGCATAGTACACGGTTGTAAAACGAGACTGACATCAGGGTTGGAGTGAGACTGAGAAAAATTAGATAAATTATATACATTGCATTGAAACAGATGAGGGAGAGAACAGTTTAAAAGTGATATATGATAGGGTACTATGGTTATAACAAGAGTCCAGAAGGAAGGCTGCATAGTGGAGTGTTACTTGGTGTGTGTGTGTGTGTGTGGGGGGGAACTGTATACCAATAAAGGAAATTTTCTTTTACTTTTCAAAGAGAAGAGTGAACTGGGGGGAGGGGTGGGCAGGGAGAAAAATGCAACAAAGAATCAATAGAAATTCAAAATTTAGGGGAGCTCTGGTGGCCTAATGGCAAGGAGCTGCAACTACAATCCTAGAGGCGCACAGTTCGAATCCACCAGATGCTCTGCCGGGGAAGGAGGGACAATCTCCTCCTGTACCAGTCAGATCTGATTTGACGGTACACTCACACAAAAATAATAAAA